GGAAATACAATGACATCATCACTATTCACTATACACAAACATCAACCATAATGAGGACATGATTATTTTTAATGGACGCACAGTTGTCTTACGTTTCTCCCACGTCCAGACCTTTTCCCCGCCTCCAGTAGCCATATCTGGCTTGCTGCTAGTGGCTCGCTAATGGATCGATCACAGGAGGAAGACTGCAGGTGTGGGGGTGTGGTTCGTCGGAGGGGAACCCCCTCCACAAACCTGCACAACCAGTTCGACAACCACGCCCTGTAGAGTGACGTAATCACCTCCATATTTAGAGCCGACCCGTCTTACGACTTACGACGACTGGTCGTTTGGTGTTGAGGGATAGACTGTATGTATGGACGGCAGAGGGAGAGGAAGAGAGAGAAGATAGCGACTGGAAACATGTGGCGGAGGAGGGAGCAGTTCCTCTGCGGAGTTGTGGAAGGTAGTGGCCGTCTTCCGTCTACTGTACAGTGATAAACTGATTCTGTGGATGAGTGAAGATTGTGTGTGTCTGTCTCTGAACTGCAGGGTTCTATGGGAGGCCATGGCTGTCCAGTCAGAGAGTTGACTTGTTCAACAGGTGAGGGAGGGGGTGAGAAGATCCTCAGTCCACCCACACACTTCTATGATTAATGGAATTGTCCCTGTCAGTGAGGTGCCTAGTGTTTTTATTCAGGTTTGAGTAGTTAAACCTCTGAATAAGGGGCACCTTGGTGACGTAGGAAGTTTGTATTATACTCAATGAGGCAGAGCCAAATGTCCGCTATAGAGAGGTGCTCTTTATTTGAAGTGTCTGAAGAGGTTCCACTGTACTTTACCACTCCACTCCAAGTGTATTATATGTACCAGTGACAGTGTCTCTGTTCCGGTCCAGAATGAGTGAATGGGGTATGAACACCTACCTGTACGCCCCAAAGGACGACGACAAGCACAGGGCCAGCTGGAGAGACCTGTACTCGCTGGAGGAGGCGGAACAGCTCTCCCACCTCCTGCTCCAGGCCTCATCTCGCGGCATCATCTTCATCTACGCCATCGCTCCCGGACTTGACATGACCTTCTCCTCCAGTCAGGAAATATCCCTCCTCAAGAGGAAACTGGATCAGGTCAGACCTTGTTGACCGCCCTTTTCTCTTTCCCTCCTTCCTTCCTGACTTCGTTAAAAAACTTTATCACTGAATCTCAAAATCTTGAGCAACTTTTTTTGTTTCTTCAGTCCTTGCTCCCGTCTTCTATACTCCCTAACTCCATCTCTTTATTTCGTATCCTCTCTTATTTCCTCTTTTTTCTTTACTATAGTAATTCACGTCATATCCCTCCCTCTCTCCCTCTCTCCCTCTCTCCCTCCTCCAGGTGTCAGCTCTGGGCTGCAACTCATTTGCCATCCTATTTGATGACATTGACACTGATCTGTGTCCAGCCGATGATAAAATGTTCTCCTCCTTCGCCCACGCTCAAGTGGCCACCGCCAACGAACTCTACTGCCATCTCGACAGACCCAACGTCTTCCTCTTCTGTCCAACTGGTTCGTAACCTGACGGACCACATTCCATTCCCTAGGACATGTCCTGTAGCGGGAAAATTTCACATGGTGCATAATTTCACGTTTTTCGCTCTACGGTACTGTTTTTATTTCAAACAAGTGAAACATCTGAAAAAATACCTTTTGAATTGAGGAACACCTCTAAATAAAGCACACTACCTCTAGATAAAGCACACTGTATATCTGAATAGTTCAGTCTCCACAGCACATTTTGCCTGAAAGAGTGTAGTAAAAGTTATAATACGTGTCTGGTTCTTCGCTTAACCCTTTTCTCACAGAGTACTGTGAGTCGCGAGCAGTTCCGTCGGTCGCAAAGTCTCAGTACCTCCAACACATTGGAGCAGAGTTGGACCCTGGCATTGACATCATGTGGACTGGTGAGTCAGGGAGTCAGGAGGGAGGGAGGGAGGGAGGGAGCCAACATGTACAACTAGACAAAAGTCTCAGGCTGTATGGATGTGGTAGTCCATGTAGTACGTTGCATCGCAATAGAACTGTTCACACAACCTGTTCAATATGTACAATGTTTCCATGCATTGAAGAAATTGCATGAGACTTACAAAGTCCTCTGTGCATTGTGTTGTGTAAGTGCCTGCCAGCCATTTTCGAATTGTAGGATAATTTTCGGAAACTCCACCCACCAGGTCCAAAGGTCATCTCCAAGACGATCAGCCTGTCATCAATTCAGGAGCTGAGCGGCATCCTCCGGCGACCTCCTGTACTCTGGGACAAATCTCCATGCCAACGACTACGACCAGCGACAACTGTTCCTGGGACCTTACAGCGGTCGCTCGGTGTCCCTCCGATCCCACCTCAATGGGGTCCTCACAAACCCCAACTGCGAGTTCTCCGCCAATTACATTGCCATCCACACCCTGGCCCAGTGGAGTCGATCCTCACTGCAACTCTGCAAGAAACCCTCCCCCACCCAACAGGCATTTCAGTTGGAGGTCGAAGGTCAGGCAAACGAGTTTGACCCGTCGTGACGAGTGGGTGGGCCAAGCAGCAAAGTGGGCTGGGACAATACGGGGATGGAGGTTCATCTGTACGAGCCGGTGAAGGCGCTGGAGTTGGCGATGAAAGAGTGGCTTGGAGAATTCGTGAAGACAGTCGCTCAACCGGATCACTACCTTCCTGTCAAGAATGCCTCCTCCATTGCCAAGGCAAACGAGTGTGAAGAACTGGGACCCATAGACCATGACGACATCGGGCAACGGGACGACCCGGATTCGAAACAGGTCGACCCAGAAATGGATCCGAAACTGTTAGAGTCTGGATCGGCAATGTTGGTTTCGGAGGACCCGTTTTGTTACGAGGACCTGCGGCTGTTGGTTGATTTCTTCTACCTCCACCAGCACGGGGAGATGGCCATGAGGGTCTTGGAGGAGTTCTGCTGGCTCAAGGAGAACAGCCCTGGTCAGTGGGAGGGGAGAGATGTGAATAACACGAATCAGTATTATTGCATTTTTTGGCAGGGAATATTTTGGTAGTATAATATTACAACACAGTGGCAACACATGATGTAGTAGTAGAAGGTGCTCACTTACTAGCTTACATACCTAAACAAATTTGCGAACAAGAACCTCTGATATGGTGACAAGTGTTATTGCAATAATATCGTGGTACGCTTGAGTTGTATGAAGGTTAAATTGTGTCTCCCTTGGACCTCAGGTTACGATGCTCTGCGAGGAATGGGCAAGCTGAAGGGGAGAGATGGAGGAGGAGGGGAGGAGGTGGGAGGGAGGGGAGGGGGTGTGTCATGTGATCGAGTTTCAGAAGACGGGATGAGAAGTGATGGAGAGACTTCGGACAGAAATGAGGAGGACCCCATTTCACCCCAGGTCAGCCCCCCTGACACACAAGTCAGTTTTTTGACGAGCATCAAATGCTACCTTCACTTTAGAGCGTGCTGGTCACGAACATGAGTCCTTATCCATCAGACCACACCCATTTAGCGACTACTGTAACCTTCACTCTGCATGTGTGCCGAGGGTTAACAAGACTGAAAGCTGAAAAGTGTATGCTTCTTACAATAGCTATGCCATAATATCTCCAAGGGCCAATTTACAAGGGCTCTAATTAGAAACAGCACGTGTGCGTTTCCAGTGGCGGTGTGTCTTTACCAATCATATCAGACTCCCTAACGAGCAGGATCCTCCCCCTTCTCTCCCTCCTCAGGAGGTGACGGAGTGGTGTGAGCGATGTCAGTCATTCCATCTCCTCTGTCAGATGGTCAAGGACATGTACAGCAGGCTGACAACCATCCCTAACAGACCTCTCCTCTATGACGTATATCAGTACATGTGGGACGCCAAGGAAACCACCACTCTCCTAGACTCCTACATCTCCTGGCTGGGTAGGTGTACATGCCTGCTACTGCAGAGTGTCGTTGGTACGAGTTCCATACAATCCAAGGCAGCTCTTTTCTTTCAAACAAGCAGTTGTTTATTATCATGGTACACATCAACATAAACTTAAAAATCAAAACTTCGTAGAAATGTTGCTTTGTGTAACCATCGCAATAGGGCATATGTAATTTATCGCTTCCTCTTTCTGTGTTGATGAAATCCCAAGTATTCCACATGAGCATTCCTCATTTAATTGCTTTCTCTCCCACACACACACACACACGCACGCACACACCTCCTACTCTTTTATGGTTACCATACTCTCCTCCCTCCATCAGAATGGGGTAGGAGGCCAAGTCCTAATCATGAACCCCATCTTCTAGAGGTGGGATTACAGCAGAAATGCAGGTAAACTGGTCTCGGAGTATATACAGTACATAGTAGACGCCCAGACACACACCAGCTGTCTGCCACTGCTGACAATGTCTCATCTCGCTATCCTAACTCACTCAGCTTTGCCATTTACAATGTCTTGTCGATGTTCAAGTTATAGGCAAACTTTTCAATGTATCACTGTTTTGTCAACACAAGACAGCTGCTATAGTTTCTTATAGGAGCTGATGGTGTGTACACGTCTTAGAAGCCATTCCCCATGTACCTACCTCCTCCGTCTTCATACATAGGCACTTTTAAAAATTGCCATTGCATAATAATTATGTCACCACATTGCGAGGGGCACCCGTTTTTAGACGAGCTGGATGACGTATAATGCAATGATGTATGAGACATGTTGTGAATGGCAGTGGTAAGGTAGCTCGGTGAGGTGGTCAGAGGGTCACGGTATGCAGCGAATAGAGGGAGAGAGAGAGAGAGGAGGGAACAGTTGTCTGCCACACACGCACCACACCCACTCAGTGCTAGTACCGTGAGTTCAGGGGTTAATAATTAAAGTCAAATTTAACGGGTGAAACATCGCGTCAGTGCCCAAGGTAATGACAAACTTTTCTGCAGCACAAATGTTGAAATGTGAACGTGTCACCAGAAGGTAAGGTGTTGGTATTGGTATGTGATGGAGTGTTGCACCACTTTGGTAAGTTGGTACGGTGTGGTCATGTGTGGTCTGTGGTCACTGGGTCCATAAACTGAGTCTGGGTAAGAGTGTCACAGTGTGTGCAGATTCCAATGTTCCGTTGATCCATACTTGTTACTCGCATTATCAAACCGGCGACCTGACTTCAGGAGTGGGCAGATTAGAGATGCCCGCTCACATGACAGCAGCTAGCTAAAGTTGTACACAGGTGCACCACAATAACACGGTGACAAAGACTGTAATGATGCACACAATTTTTGCTTTTGATGAGGGGCTCAATTGAGTGAGTCGGTTTTTTGTCCTTGTGGTGAGTGGTGCGTGTTCTGTCCGGTCGTATTATCAGACTCACTAACGAATGGGGGCCTACCCCTTTGCCTCACTCGTTCTCCCTCCCCCTCCTCTAGAAAGCCCTCTGATCACCTGCAGACTGTGTCCCATCTATGACATGGACACCCCTTTTTTAGAGCCCACCCTTTCGCTCGCTCGCTAACTTTCAAAACTGTCGATTCCTGGGTTGTATAAGGTTTGTTTTGAAATTATTTATCCGTTAATGGGTTCAGGAACGTTTAATTAGTGGCATTTCGGTGTGGTACCTCTACCCTCCCCCCTCGTTTTGTGGTTGGTTGTGGTGGCCCCAACCCCATTCACGGTACGGTATGGTGTAATGGTATAGCCTTGTCCATGATGTGGCCGTTATGACGTGGTTGCTATGGTCACCACAGTTGGTGTTCGACAGCGACAGTGACGATGAATCAGTGCAATGGTCACCATGGGAAAACCCTGTCGTCATGAGAACAGCAAGCAGTAACTAAACAACATAATCTTTCCGTATAGTTCACGTCTTCTAGGTGTTAAGATTTTATTATTTTACACAAAGTCGTTAAGTTGTAATCATGTAAAACTTTAATGCAAATTGCATCATGAAATTAAATGCTTGTGTTTTTTTCCAACCACCACGTAATTTATACAATGATGTCTATCAAGATCTTTACAGTTTGCAGTAATCATTTATTATTTCATTGAACCATTAGTTTTGGGAAAAAGGGAGTTCACGTGTCTGTGGGCAACCATTACGTTAGGTGTAAACAACATGTTTGGTGTGCACAATGTAGTGGTTGCCTATGGTAAACATATGCGAAAAACACTGCTTATTAGTGTTGACTTTAAAATGTGTGAGATGCAAGAAGAGCTTTGGGAGACAAATGCCATTGTAATGGAGAGGTGATAGCTACCTTTGTAGGCACGTCCATATTGTCAGACCAGAATACATAATCATATTTCATGGCATTGTTTTTTAAAAAGACCCAAAGATAGAGATACTGTGAACCATGGTCACACAATTGTGTGGGACGTGTATACAAAAGTGTAAAGATGAAGGTATTTGATGTGGGGAGTTGTCAACCGGTTTGTTTCTAGCTGGTCAAACCAGTGACAAGCTAGGTCTGAAGAGGCTCAAGGAATTGAAAGTGGTGACGGTAGTGTGCTATTGGGAGCGTTCGGGTTGTCGGTGTGTGTGTGTGGTGCATCCCAACCTCTCGTTGCCATGGGGTCAGAGAGATTTTTGACAATGGACATCAGGGTTTCGTGTTTTTCATGTTCACGACTTACAACTTCCTTCCTTCTTTTCTCCCCACCCAAACCCGCCCCCTTTCTATTCTAACCACAAGGATATCGCTTCGTTGCTGAAGTGTCTCATCCCTCTTACAGCGGAGCACCCCCAGATCCCCGGCCTCCAGAGACCTTACACCCCCATACGACCATATCGCACTGCGGACCAGGTCAATGTGTCCTGATCATAGAGCCGGATTGCGTTGTCTATAAATGGGCGTCCTATGTGATTGACTAGTTGTCCAAAAATGGGTGTCCTGATTGATATAGTGTCTAAACAAAAGGGTGTTGCAGCAAACTGAACATCTGGAACTAATACAATCTTAGGCAACCAAATTCAAATTGATCGTTAATTTGAATGTTCATTAAAGCAGTTGAGCAAAATGTTTTTTTCGATTGGGATAGAAGGCCGATGAAATGAGATGGGGTGGCGGGAAACATTGGTGTTGTTGTTGTGTAGGAAGTGTTTTTTTCTCCATCTTGCAGAGATGATTCCGTGAGTTGCAACTCCGAACTTCTACCCCTTCCTCCCCCGCTCTATTTAGAGCACCTCCCCCCCATCTCATATTGTATCTGTTTGCCCCAGACCCAGGGAACAGGTGATGGTAGCGCCATGATCAAGACCATTCTTAATCTATCTCTCCCGAAGGCCAAAGGCCCCTAACTTTGAAACTCCTGATTTTTTGTTAATCCTTACCAGCGTTGTTCATTGATTACCCCTCCATTGCCCCATCCCCCTACAGGTCGTCAGGGGTCCACCTGAATGAATTTAGCAACAAGAAAGCTTCTGAATCTCCCTCACCTGATAGGCTTTAGTCTGCTGTATTTTGACCACTGATACCCCTCGCTGTCATTTCATCTATCCCTTAGGACCTCAGGTACTATAGCCCCCACACATTCCTACCAATTATTCACTTCCTTTATTATGTCACAGTTTAACTCTTCAATGACCCTACTCCTAAAGTGCAAACCCTCAGCACACCTCTATAGAAATGTTGGAACCTCATACACAATTTTGCTAACCACCCACAAGTGTTGGTCTTGACCATGCATAAACAAGAACAGCATGTTTTATGCACCATTTCCCCATGGATTTATATACCATTAGGTTGAAAAAAAATGCCCAGCCCTTTATCTGTTTTGAGGTCAAAAAATTATAAGGTTGAAAAATTCCAACCTGTCATCTTTCTCTCCGTAATTTTTATGTCATTACTGGTGGATTGTGAGTGAAAAAAAAAAAATTTTTAAAACCCAAGTTTGAACGAAAAAAACTCCCATCCCTTCATATCTCTCCAACAGACGTCTACGGACCCACGTGCCATGTCCGAACTGTACGCTGCCCTTGAGAACATGCGTGTGTCAGTGTGGTATATTTGTGTGTAGGGAGAACCAGAGCTGTTTTTCCCACCAATGCTCTGGAACACCTGTACCACTCTTTCATGTGGGCGCGGATCGGATACAATCCCTCCGCACCGGTGTCATCCCACGACTTCGACACCACTTAGCCACTCAGGCTGGCCTGGAGAGGTAATGTCCAAACACGTTCCATATCTCCCAAACACTCCTATTACATCCATTGTCATGTATGATGTTTAGATGTGTTTTACCCTCTCTGACGTCTTCCATGGGGTGCATCACGATGCAGAGAGGTGGGTGCTTATTCCATCAGACCATACCAACATTGCTTACTTGGGAACAGTGTATAATAGATCCTGAATGCAAACCCTAGCGAACTGCGCATTTGCGGTACAGCTGATGGGCTTGGCCTGGCTTTGCGTTACTCTTGATCGTGAAGTATCTCTGCGGAGTCTGACCTGTCTAGCACAGTATTAGTATAGCTGCTGGAGTCGATAACGCCCTTCGAAATTGTGACTTCTGGTTCTTGTTTCTCCGAGGTACACACCAGAGCATACGGGCGTACCGGCTGTGTCGCGGTACCTTGCAGCTACGAAGTTGTTTATCCGTGGCCGGATCGGATATTCTAGGATTACTATCGCGCACGGATAAAATGTCCTAGATAGTGCTGGGATGCTGCGTGGCCCACGGCTGCTATTTAATACACCGCGCTGTGCTTCAAGTTATTAGGAGTTGTCGAATAGCGCGGGCAGCGTGAAAGTGCCGTTGTTTGTGTCGAGTATCTGCGGGTGGATATTCATTTCACAACGTTACTAGAATGCGATGACGTCCTTGTTTGGAGTACACCAGCGCGACTGGAGAACACTACCGTGATATCCCCGCAGAACGAGCGTGCGCCTCAGTATGCAGGTGAATGCGAGCGATACACCCGCGCACGCTGTGGTCTCTGAAGTATGAAATGGTAGAGTGCAGTCGTGTGCAGCTTTCAGACTCGGTATGCCATGATGCGCGTACGGTGTCCCAACAAAAGTGGTCCCGGACCCAGTCTTACCCTGTATGGCGCAGGAAAAGTTCACACTATGTCTTATTAGAGAGGATACCACTCATCCGACCCCGATATGCCACACTACCAGAGTATTCTAGTCCTGGCCGCGGGTCGAATGATTCTATCTCCCCGCGATAAAATGAAAAACACGATAAAATATCCTGTGACAACCCCGGTCAGTGTATGAACAACCACATCGCCGGTAGGCTTAAGCGCCTGTGCCAATTGTGCGTGTTCAGGCGACTGGTTCACCACTTGGTTTCATGCCATATAATACTCTGTGACGCGAGGGCCTTTTTACAAAAGGAAAATCGGCATAGAAAATGAAGTCTCGTGTGTACCGACTGCATCGTGGTTGAGCTGCTATTATTACACGTGTTGTGGCAGCGCGGCTGGTGGGCAGAAACGCGGACGGACGGACGGTACGCGACGACAGACAGCCGGACTGACCACACACGCACACCCTCGCTGCGTCGCATCACTGCGCGCACGCGAGGTTAATCATCATCTGCTCTGCCTCGCGCCTAGCTGTACGCTGTCCTTATGACGAGCTGTACATGGGTTCAGTGGATAGGATTCATGGCGGTTAGGGTAAGGCACCAAGAGCTTTCCGAGCGAACCAAAGTGCTCTGGACCACTCTGGACAAGTGAAGCCTCACTATGTCATGATTACTGCAAAACACAGATATCAAGTCTCTCAGCCAGCCCACATCATTGTAGGCGCCTGGACCGCGTCACGATCCAGAGGGTGCGTCTATCCATCAGACCCCCACCCACTTACTGAATGGGAACAGGGCACAGTGCATCGTGCAGATGTAGACATGTAAGTGTCGGCGCACGTAGTAACGCGCATTGCCGCGTAAAGCTTACACGCATGCGCCGTACCAACACCAACTAAGTGGTCGGGCGTGGGTTTAGGTTTTATGCTGTTACATCGTCGACGGTCTCTCTGATGCCAGCATCGTCCTGGCAGTAGTCTCTGACGCGTGGCTACACTACACTAGTTAGATAGCATGCGCGAGAGGCGATACAACGACGCAATGCGTTGACACTCCGATCTGGTGCTTCCACGAGGACAGCGAGATCGCTCATGCTCGGCGGCGTGTGTATTTAGCAATCTTGGCCTTTGTTCCGCGCTGCTAGCGTTGCAACGGAGCGTCTTTCAGAGAAATCGCGTTCGAAAGTATCGTGGTACCTTCATTCCGTTCAGTAGTGTGGTGAGACGACAAACACCGACCGAATGGGAGTGACATGACATGGCAGCGTCCCGAGGAGTTAGAAACGCACGTCCCGAAGCTTCGTCACGTCTGAATGCGGACTAAGATCTACAGAGAGTCTGCTAAGCTATGCATACAGTGTTACTCGGGCGTCACGTCTGAACGCATGAACATGTACATGGCTGAGAACATAATAGGCCCGTTACACGGATGCTCAGGTTATTGACATGTGACCTGTGACAAATTGACTAGTTTGAAAAATAAAAAAGAAAGAGAAAAATGAGGAAAAACACCAAAAAGAAATCAGTGCCGTTTCCATGTATGCTAAACTTACCGTTCAGGCTCAATATAGCCAGCATGTGGCAGAAACTGGCGTGGAATACGTACATGTGATCATGCATCTGTGCAATTCACGTAATTAAAGCGTTTTGGCTAGTTTTCTCAGAGCGAGAAGTATCAGTACACATGATTGCTATACATGTGATCAGTAATAGAGGTGCTGGCGAGGGAGACAGTGGTGTATTGTGCCAGAGAGTACACACACATAGGAGTCCAAAAAGAGGAGACAGTGTTGGGGTGATTAAACAAATTGTCGGGGCAGTTGGAGTACATTTGGGACGAAGTCCTGTCCTGCTCTAATGAGGTTTTGGATCTGATGGTCTATCTTCGGGTTTTAACCGTGCCTGAATCTGATGTACCTCGAGACTTGGTGGAAGTTGGCTGTGTGCCACGTGCAGAGTGAGATCCCTGGAGTAGCCTGAGATAGAATGTGCACTAACATATTTTATGTAATTATGGCCTGTTAGCACGAGCAAAGCAGTTGTGGGTATTTAATCTGTATTATGCCTTCATCCACCGGTGTTGAAACTCTGCTTAAAAAGTAAATCATGATGTTGATTACTACACTATGTTTCGCACGACCTGTGTCTCGAAGTCGGGCGGGTTTAGTCGAATATTTTTCGCTTGCTAGATCAGCTCAGATTGCTTGGCGCTCAGGCGGCGTGCTCAGTGCCTGCGAAGTCCCATCAAGAGCGCCAACGCGAGATAGCTACTACTCGCCTCTGAAGTCGTCGTGGTTCTCCCATGCGTATCTTCGAAAAAGTTGCGTTCTTGCTCGTCGTTGTCCAAGGAGCTTCTTTCTTCGCAGAATCTATTTCCTGCTGAAGACATCACAGAGCGCTATCGTGAGGCAAGAGTGCCTCTGCCATGTCTCTAGCTATGTAGGCTTCACGCATAGACGAGGGAAACGGAAACTGGCCTGGGGAGCGCCTGTCGGGGTCGGGCCACGACCTCCTCGAAGACACCCTCGCGCTTTCGTTCTGGCTACTAATCAGGGCGCTTTAGCCCAATTTCGCTTGAATTATGCTATTCTCACAATACGCATTATGCTGCAAATAATGCGAGCATATTCTAACCGCAGGCCCTTACTGGAGAGAGTGTGTCAGGAGGAGGGGAGGGAATGACGATCTCTCCTGAAGGATGGTCATTCCTTCGAGGATTGTCTGCCTATCTCTGTCTCCCACGCCCCACACTTCAGTCTCCTGTCAGAGAAAGAGACCCCATCTCTATCGACAATTTCCCCAGGAAACCATTAGCAGATGTGTTCAGCAGATGGAATTTGGGACACTCACTAACAATCAACACTTCACTCTGGTGTCTGGATTAAGGGGTTCACTGCATTATGTGTACATACAACAGAACAGAAGAAGAAAGCAGTGTAAATATAGGTCCTAACTGAGAAAGACAGAGTGAAGTGAGGAGAGAGGGAGAGACAAGCTGACAGAGGAAGATGGACTGACATTGTCATTGACCGAGAGAGGCCTGGAATGTTTGGCGGATGCCCTTTTGATGGAAGAGGGGGATGTGGTGGGCCAGACCAAGGCCCTCCAGCCACACTCTCCATGGAGGAGCTGAGCCGTGGCGTGCAGTGGAGTGCTGGGTGAGAGAGAGAGGAGACAAGATATCTATAATAAAGAGTTAACTCCCTATATTTGAAAGGGCAATGTGCGTTAATACATAGGGCACTTATAAATGTTACTAAAGATGACTAAACAATAGGGCTCAATGCAAGAGATGTACATCACAGACCCTCGTGTTGTAGGTGATCGGGATCATCAGAGTATAAGAGAACATGACCACCCTCTCAGTAACTTGACTGCCTCTCCAGCACGTGAGAATATCTCTGGGAAGGTCTGTCAGAGAGAGAGAGACTGACACTGTCGGTGTCCCTCGGAGGCTGGGTGCGCATTGGCATTCTACTTGGAAAACCGTTTTCCCCTCTTGTTTAATTATATGGTTCTAACTTCATTATCTCGTAATACAAGACGGGTGCAGGCTAGTATGGAGGGTGATCGTTCAAATACGCAATTTTATTGCTGATACTAGCCGTAAAATTCACACTTCAAGCAGTTAGAGTCTTTGACCAAGCTTCTCACATCCGGCTTGCTCTCAATAGCAAAGTTTACTGTAGTCAGCCACATAGGCAAAGTAGTGTATGGTTACCTTGATGTATATTCTTCCTTGTCGTGGTGACCTTCGTGACCTTTCTTGCGGGTAATGTAGTCCTGCTCCACCTCCTCTTTCACTGTGGGCAGCTGCATGCAGTCACACACAGAGAGACGAGGAAAGAAGAAGAGTACACAATAGATAATTACGCAGCATTTCTTTTCTTGCTATGGGGAAGAGGTAAAGGCAATTGTATTTCAGTTGGTAGAGCAGCTCGCCTAGCTCTGGCAGAGTGTCGTGGGTTCAAATCCACCCAGGCATCTCTTTTTATTTCACTTGCTTGCTTTGTCTTCCTACATCGTAGTTGCACGCCTCATTCATTACCAGTTTACTTGAGTCTACCCACAACAAGTAGTGTGTACATATGCTTGTCTCAGCGATGGGTAGACCTTCTACCCTCTCTTCCGTCCTCTCCTTCTCTCTGGCTGTCTTCCCCCACTCCCTCCCCTCTCTTCCCCCGCCTCTCGTCCGCACTCATGTCTCTGCCCGGGAGATGCACACACCCTCACATCCAGCACATGCTCTCCCAGAAGCTCCCTCTCACCTGTATTAACACAATACTACTATAAACTACCACATTTTTGGCAAGCGAACGCGAGTAGTTTTATTGCATCACGTGTCTATTTAGAATCCATCTCACTAAAAGTTAGCCCAATTTTTAACTTTCCCTACAAAACTTTTCCTCCAGCTACTGTATCTATACGTCAGAATAGTTAATTAGTCCGTCTTTCCCCAACAAAGTACAGCTGCCGTATGCTCTCACAGTTCAACTCTGAAATCAGCTGAACCAACTGCCCTCGCCCCGCTCTCTGAATCTGACTGTAAAACATGGAACTTCAGAAGAGCTGTAAACAGAGAATCTCCATCTGATGGAGAGAGAGAGAGAGAGAATGGTTAGGGAGGCAGAAGGAAGAGAGGAGGGAGGGGGTTGAGGGAGTGAGGTGAGGGGGTGAAGAGGATGTTCTTACATCTCTGCAGATTGCTGAAGGGGAGTGCGATGAACAGTCTCTGATCGGGATGCAACTGGGTGCCAAAGAAGGCACATCCATCCATTTTGAATCTGACAAATGGTACGGATGATGAACACCTGAATATAGAGAGAGAATATAGCAGTCACCAATACACAGTGAATGGAATTGAACTGTGCATTCACAGAGTCGATTCTCACCATTTCTCTTCTGTTCTTCGACATGTTTGATGCAACACTGGAGGTTTCTCTGCCACCACTCTGGTTGTTTGTGGACGGCTGTTATCACCAGCCGACATCCTCTGGAGCCCTTCGATGCTGGCAGGAGACAGAGACAATGAGAAACGTTGGGAGCCAGCCCACATTTACACATGACATGGTTATCTGGATTGCACTATTTTCCGTCTTGCCATCTATCTGTAACACTTAACAATCGTTTTTCTGCATTTTTGCACTGGCAGTAAACACCCTAACCTTCACTCTCCCATTTTCTCGCCCAAATATGCTCAATAAAGTTGGAGACAAGAATGTGATGTGCATCACTAGGATTCTTAGGACCCCAATGGTGGCAGTGTGAAATGTTCTAAGGTTGTTACAGGTTGCTACGTAAGAGGTTCCAGTACTATCAGTAATGACAACAAGAAGAGAGAATGGAAAAGGAACGACTAACACTGACGGTAAAGGAGAGAGGATGTCGGCATCTTCTCTTGATGTACATCCTCTGGGTGACTTGGAGTCAGGCGAGTGGGGTGTCTTGGAGTACTGAGGATGATCAGTGTCCAGTGATATGTCAAACCCATACCTCCCTTTCATTGAGGTGCTGTGGAGAACATACGAGGGAGAGAGAAACAGAGAGGTGAACTTTCAACTGACAAACCCCCTATAAACGGATTTATTGTCATGCTGTTTAAATCTACAATTGTGGCAAGCTTTGAAACTTTGTAATTACGAAAATCTTTTGCACAAAGTCTTTCCCTATGTACAGGATAGTGGAAGAAATTTGGAGGTCTTATACCAGTAGTATATGCCTTAGGCATATTATTTGTAAAGAAAAAAGGCGAGATAAGTCCAAGATATATGTATTGCATTCCACCCTTGAACATTAGTCAACTATTAGGGATGGTTGGTTTGTCATTTGTTTACCTGTGTTCCTGCAAAAATGCAAAACTGTTCCTAGGATGGAGTAGGGAGTAAAGTAAGGCGAGATAGGGCAAGGATTAGTATTGTGCTATTCCACCCTTGAACATTAGGCAAAGTATTAAGATGGTTGGTTTGTCGTTTGTTTACTCGTGTTCCTGCATGCAAACTGTTCTTAGGATGGGATGAGTGAGCATTGCTAATTTCATTTGCCCCATTGCACCGTACCGCAAAAATCTACGAATAGGATAATCCATTCCATAATTATGAACCTAACCTAACTTACTTGTACGGAAGGTTGGAACAGATGGAGTGAGGTGGTTGTAGGGAAAGAGGAGAGGAGAGATGGGAGAGAGGGGAGGTGTTTGTGGGAGTACGGAAGAGGAGGCAGAGGAGGAGAAGTCGAGAATGTTGTGAAATTCCACCATTTCCTCCGACTTGGGCAGAAGGGCCACGAGATTAGGCTGTTGTTGGTGTAATGGGTAGGGAGGAGTAGGAGAGGTAGGGGGGGAGGGGGTAGTGTGACATGCTGTGAGCTGCTGACTCTGGAGATCTGGGATACGGGGAGAGTGGGGAGATGGGGTGAAACAAGGAAGATGAAGGAAAGATGAAGAAAGAAATGGCCACCACAATCCACAGGTATAGAGAGATGGAGGTAGAGGTTACCTGAGTAGTGGCACTAAAAAACAGCTCGACGCACGCTCAGAGATGATGTGGCCTGGGGGAAAATGTTAATCTCATGGTATAGGTATGTTAACACTGATTGTCATGTCAGTCTATGTGTAACTAGCCGTAGATCAGTTTTAGTTCAGACAAGTTTGAGTCACGAAATCTTCTGGTCAGCAATTTGCAATTTAATCTTGGACACACCTTGTTCAATTCCATATCCATCTTCTTCTTCCCCTCCCTCGTCATACTCAGTGATGTATTGCTCCGTCCCACTGCACACAACAATCACATGCAACGATCTTCACCCACCTATACAGTGGAACCCTTCTACAGGACACTTATGTAAGGACAGTCCTCTCTATTCAGTCACTTTCTCTCCTTAGAAACGTCTAATAATATACGTCACACATTTATTAAACGATCTAATTTTTCAAATGGATTCAGCTGCAGGTATATAGTGACTTTTTCTTTGAAGTTGTGAGTGTGTTGATTATAGTACAGCTTCAAATAATACAGAACCTCTCCACCCACCAGTCATTGACGTTGAGTAGCCAGCAGCACTCAAGATGTTGTTGGTCGTGTCTTGGCTGTAGACCCAGACTGACCTGGAACAGGGGCAGTGTGCTATTCCTCGTGGGAGGTAAAATTATGGCTTACATTAGACAGTTTGGCTGTCTGACACGGTGTCATGAAAGACATGATCGCCCACTGACCTCTCCCCGTCTCAGCGCCACGATCTATTATGAGACACAGTCACGTGATACACGTGCGCGCTCTCTGCTGCGTGATATTCACACACACACCTCTCACACTGTCACCTCCAACCAGTACCTACCTCTTTCTCTGTCGAAGGAACATCGCTGACAGCAGGTTTGCGCGCCAGATTTTTTGTTCTCGTGGTCAGGTCAAGGTGGTAGCACGTGGGTCCGTCTCCAATTCCGTAATCTTTCGTATACGGACACGTTGCTACCGACGAAACATGTTTTCTCTCTCTGTGTGAGCTCTCAAGGAGGAGGGAGTCATGCTTCGCGTGCGCCGAGACCATCGTCCAGTGAGAGCGCTTCAGAGCTTGACCGGCAGTTAGCAAACTCCTCGCGGCTGCAAACGCTCCGCTCCATTGTCTCTCTCCGCCCCAGCTCGAAGGACCTGGCGAGACTGCAGCGATGGTACCCGCGTGAGGAGAATGATAGGAAGACGGAGGGCGACCAGTCCCAGTATACAAACCCTCCGAAACAACAGTTAGTGTACAACAACGGCACTCCCCGTCTAAAAATTGGGCACTATCATGTAGGCAGCTGCAAGTTTGCCAGCCAGACTTGCTCACGAGGCTACGCTCTGTCCTTGTCAACCTGGTAACTCACTAACTGACTGCACTATGCAGGAGCCTTTCCCTTCCCTGTGTTGAGTAACTACCTCATAGTTCAGAAAGAAATTTGTGTCTTATATATATAGTGAGGGTGAAGAAGAGGGTCCTCGAGTTCACAGGGTGTCCGTAAGACGAGGGGTCAACTTATATGTTTTTAAGAACTGACTCTCGATGATGCACTCCTGTTTGGTGCAGGTCCTGATAGAGAGTCTGCAGCAGAGATGCAGGGATCTTAAGAAAAACCTCAGTCTAGCTGGCAGCAGCAGAATGAGCTAAAGTACAGCTAGCCTCAACTACGCAGTACTGTGATGTCAAAAGATAACTGAGATGTTCTGCTCCAGAGTCACTGGTGAGGCAGTAATTTGACGAGCTTCGTCTCACATTCAACGACAGTACACGGTAAGTGCCGCGTGGGAGCGGAGGGGCTTTAGTACAGAGCGCTGATGAGGTCAGGGTAACCACTGGTATAGAAACACACTGGCCTACCTGTCCTTTCAATGGGCATGGGTGTGTTCATTCCTGTTCCATATGTGTACATATGTAGTATCGATGAGATGTGTGCTTAGAGAAGAGAAGGGTGCCACTGTATATATTGACCAATAAGATTCGAGACCTGGAGAGAGTACATTGACTCAGCCACGCAACACACATGGGTCGGGTTCGTTACATGACACCATTCAACAGTATAAGCATTCTTGACAACAACAACATGATAAGGAGTGGCAACTTACCAAAAAGAAACGGGTAGAAACTTGCTCTTTGACTGCAGCATAACTTCAAATCATACCACACATGTGTATATTTCAGAGATGATCATACGATTAATTAAACAATACACGATGTGTATAATGTGCCTTTCCATTCATACACGTAACCTTAAACCAGCAAACGAGAGGTGCGATTTTGGTCGCACGTAGGATTCAACCCACACGCCTAGCCATTTTGTGCTACAAGTATATATATACCTAATGATGTTCCCACTGTAAGAATGTATGTGTGTATATCCCTACCCCTACCTCAGAGTCCATGGGGTGAAGCATGCAACCATGGGGGACTACCAGAAACACTTAAAGGGTCATGGCAACAGACTGAGAAGGTATGTAATACTTTTTTATCTATATCTTTGTTGTACTCTCATCCGCTCGCTGCTGCTTTCTTCCCTTTCTTCCTACATACCTACTGCCTTTCCTGTCCTATCCAGATGCGAGAAATGTTGAGCAAGAAATCCTATTTTCGCAGTGTTGCACAAGTCGTCTATTCAATAATTTTCCACGACGTTTGGACCTGTGCATAGCAGCACATGAGGACGTGTGCAGTATGCAACCTCCAGTCCCACCCTACCGATCCATCCCACCGCCTATCCTCTCCATCCCTTGGCATGGCGACATGACAGCCCTTGGGGCTGTTGCCACCTTTTTTCTGTTACTATGCTTCCAAATCGTAGGACATATCGTGTTTTTCCCCTCTCTGCAACAACAGTTTTTACCCGCTGTATCTGCTGCATAAGATGTCACTGTCTCTCTGTGGTTTTCACGTCTCCCTCGTCGCCGTGGTGACAGTCATCAGCTCCGTTCACACAGCTCTCTGGCCACCACTCCCACTGAGGATGAAGATAGACCACCTCCGACAAGAGAAGGCCGTCTTTGAGGGAATCACAAGAAACTGCAAAAGGTACACGTGCAACACACATCTCCTCTCCCTCTCTCTTATGGAGCACAACAAATCACCGCATTTCTCATGTCTCCATGTTTCGTGTCCTATACTATAATACCACAGTTTAGTCAGTGTCTTTTCCTCCATTTGTGTCCGCACCAATAAATTATCTAGAGATTTGACTGAAGGCACTTCTCTACACTCGCCACATGTACAGTTAAGTCATATCTTCTCGCAACTCTTTCTTCCCACACACCCGCATGCCCGCCACATACACACACACGCACAGAGCTGCTGAGCTGTAAGAGGAACATAGGGTGAGGTGATAGAAGCATCCACGCAGGGCTATGACTCCAGAATGATGCCCAGACCAAAAACTTGCTCCTCACTCAAGGAGAAGGCCGACAAGGAGGTGGCCCAGTACGAGATGAGGTCAAGGTACATACGCATGCAGTAATCTGTTGTAGAACATTCTGTAGTTATGTTTCAAATTTTAATGAGGTATCCACACATTAATATTTTGTATTACAGCTTCAAAAGTTCATTTTATACGCATTTTCCTTCACGTACACAATACAAACGTACTACATACATATTACGTTTACGTAACAATCTTTCTTCTCTCGTAAACGCAATAGCAATATTGTCTGATTTCTCCACTCGTCACACTGATGATGTAACCATTTGTAGAGCTGCAGAGGCAGATAGACTCTACGCAGAAAGTTGAGGGATTTCATGAACCGTAAGAACCAGGAGCGGGCCGAGGCCCACATGGAGATCGAGGCCAGAAGATGAGGAAAGAGGTGGAGAAGACCAGCACCAGGAGAGAACTGTACTGGTGAGGATTCACACCCACACACACATTGAGTCACCTTTTATGAGTAGGGTCACTCCTTCCTTATAATAATAGATTGATAGGTATGTCGGTGCAAATCTGCAAGATCATTAGAATCTGAGCATATCAAACTGTTGTATATTTAGTGGGGCGATAAAAGTCACCTCTTACTTACACACACATTATTAGTTCGACACCTGTCTAGGAGTCCATCTATGGCGAAGTTCATGTTCCCCATGGGCTCTTACACTGTATTTTGTCTAGCGCAAGTCATCTTTGTCCTTGATTTAAACACTGCTTTATTACATACACCTCCTCCTCTTCCTTAACGCCATACTCCCTCTTTTATCCCTGTTGTGACACACACTCAGTCGTATGAGCAGCATTTGAGAAGATAAAGAAGGCGACTGGTATCACTGACATTGACCAGCTGGTCTCCAAGTTCATTGATGGTCAGCTCACATCCACTTTTGACAATTATTACTTTCCATGCCGAAATGGTAGACATGATAATAACAGTGCTATCGACCATATGGAAATGGGGCGGTTTAAATTTAGCAAGTTTGTGAGGGGAGGACAGAGCTTCCAATGATTCTGAATACCTTGAGTATCTAGCTGGAGAAATGCAGTGCAGATGATCCTCAGGATTAACTGTTGATGTATTTATTCTCCTCTTCTCCGTCCAGTGAAGACCAGAACTTTGCTCTGTTCAACTTTGTCAATGAACTGAATGCCGAGATTGAGACAGTCAGAGATAAAATATCTCAGGTCAGCATCTGCTACAGTATCTCTTTTTTTTCTCAACAAATTTGTTCCAAAATCCGCGCAAAAATAGTGGTAGCAAAATTGACTGTAAATATGAGCAATTTAGTTGTCACTGAATGAAATTTCCCACTGTATTATGTATGGTATAGAGTATAGTACAAACATGGATGTGTAGTCTCTAATATGTAGTGTGAATGCAATTTCACTTGCTTTCGCAAAATTCGCACAAGTACCCGTAAAAAATGTGCCTCTCTGCTGTTTTTCCTGTACAGGTGACAGAGGAGATAGAGAGTTCAAAGGTCAGGGGTGGAGATGGAGGAGAAGAGGAGAGCCATCCTCAGAGACCTAGAGGTGCACTACATACATACATACATACATACATACACTCTCTGTTCGCAGTATAATCATACAGGAAGATGTTGGGCATATACACATGCACATGGGCATAGTTGTGTGCCACTCTCAAGAAAATATTATAGGAAAGCACCTGTCCCTGGTGTGCCCATGTCTCATTGGACACTGTGACAGACTCTCCAGAAATTTAGCTCCTTCTTCTCTCCCTCTCCCTCTCCCTCTTCTTCCTCTTCCTCTCCCTCTCTTCTCTCCCTCTCCTCCCTCTCCTGCAGGCTGAGCTGGCCAGGTGGAGGAGGAGGCAGGGGAGTTTGAGAGAGGTTCAGACCTCCACTGCCACTGTGGAGCACGCCTGACTGGTACATACATACACTCACCTGAATCTTCTCTCTCACAATTCTGACTGTATGAGACATATACCAGTAGAACAGCAAAGAAAAGTAGTAGAGAGTCATTTATTGAGAGGTACACTAAAGCATTAGCACCAATGGGGGGATAACATGGAAACAAGTGTTCATAGACATCCGAAGTGTTCCGTAATTAGTTTTCCAATTCAGCAACACTACTTTCTTCTGTCCCATGGTACTGTATCATGAAGTAGAGTATCATTATTGGAAAACAAAGCAAGCCTATATACCTAGTCATCTGAATGCAGGGATTTTTTTAGACGGACACTGGGTACTGCACATACAGTATTGCTAAATACACAATAAATATTGAACTGTTCGCCCAAATTTCTAAGAGGAGCCCCCCATAGACACTGTACTTATTGACTTTGAACAATCCCCAGCAATTATTAAAACGAGACTCCCATTCTATGTGTCCTCTCCCCTCCACCTCTCCATCAGGAGTTGACTCAGTGTTCACCCACGACAGGATGTGACTCGTCTGCCATCACCTCTCTCCTTGAGGACACTCCGGAGTAACTGAGACCACCATACTCCAGTACCTCGTTGGTAGTGGACAGAAGCACCAACGAGTTACTCCAGCTACAGGCCCTTCATCAAGGCCAAGTACTTAACCCTCACAACACTGGCTATCACCTTAACCCTGTCCACTACACTGTCACTTAACCCTTTCCATACCACCATCTTTCCACACTGCGTATGTACACAATCTAACAATTTTACGTAAGTGGTTCAAAGTTGATTAATAACTCGATCATACACATACAATTTGTGGATGCCGTTTGAAGTAGGAAATGTGTGGTGTGGGTGATTGTATCTTTCTCTTGTGGGTAGTGTTACAGAGACAGTGGTATTCCTGTCTGCATATTTGACTGGTATACAGTGTCACCAGTCCACATGTTCCCACATGTCCTGCGGTGTGTGTGTGTGTGTGCCATCCACCATTGGAGGGGCTCTGTGTACTGTGGAGATATACCTCTCAATGACATGTCCACACTTTATGACACCGCGTCAGTGTTGTCCACATTATCCAGATGGATGTGTGGAGCGTTTCTCAATCCCAAGCCTCTCTGTGGACCAAAACCTTTACTTATAGTATGTGTTAACAGAGGCAAAGGCAAACACAACTAACTGACCACATTCCAATGCTAGATTTGCCAAATCCCATCTTACACAACTACACAGCAGCACACCGGCTGCACAATGTTGTAAGAGTCTATATATGGTGTCCTCCTGTGTGCTAATGTGTGTTGATAATTACAGGAGTCGGGGGATCCAGAGGCAATGACCACCTTCCTAATGGGACACACGGGTCAAAGTTCACTTGGAGTCACATCTGTAGTTCTGCCTACTGTAACGTGAGTTCACTCCTTTCTTTCAGCCTTCAATCATGTCTCCTCCCTCTCCTCCCTCTCTCTCTCCCTCTCTCTCTCTATCACTCTACTCCTGAGCATTAGTAGATAGACACTCCTTACTGCCTCTTTCTTCCCCCACTTACTATCACCAATATCGTTCATCCTCTCCACCCACCCAATACACTCCTCTTCTTGCCCTTCTTCTATCTACTCTATATACCTACCTGTACCCTACCTCCTTCATTTCCCAGTCATCTCTTCTAAAGTCTCCACCCCCCCTGTGTACATCTCTATGCAGAGGAGACTATGAGAGTGATGCTGAGTCAGACTATGGCGACAGTCCACTGTCTCAGGAAGAACTGAGAGCTAAAGTCCAGAGATCTGTGAGCACATGTCACTAAACACGACACACCACTCCATATAGTGTCCAATATAGTTTGGCAGTGAGTCCACTGGGAACAGGGGGACCTCTGTCTGAAGCTACCACATCCCTCTCCCCACCCAAAACACTCTCCTTATTTGCCACGCTATAATGTACAACATTGAATGTTGCGAACACATCGATGTCTTCTGGTGGAGAGTGCTGACTAGCAATTTGTTGTAATATTCACTCTGTTTATAGTTTTTCTCTATCATGGTGATGTTGCTTCAGATAACAAGACGTGAACAGACAAGGAAGCTGGCTCAATCTGTGGACTCCTCCCACCCCTCCCCCTCTCACCCTCCCCCCTCCACCGCGCTCCCTGGCAAGACACGAGGTGGAGGGACCACAGACCGCAAGAAACGACCAATACAGACCAGATGAGACCAAAAACAGACCACGCACACAGACCACGCACACACTAGCTATAGCACTGAAGACCATACGCTAGAGATAAGAAAATATCGAAATTATTTCATCATCTGTATAATACAACACAGCAGATGAGATCACAGGACTATCAGGTGACTGTCACATGACCTAGTCCTCGTCACCGCTGTCGTCGTCCTCCCCGGCGTTAATCTGGAAGTAGCGGAGTTCGTAGCTGGTCTTGGTATCGGCCACCACTCTGATGTAGTCTCTTAGGTTGTTCTTCTTAAGGAACTTCTTGGTCAGGTATTTCAGATATCTGGGGGATGAGGGGGGGGGAGAGAGGGGAGAGAGGCAGTTGAGTGTGCCAATTCCATCTTCAGTCTGTATGTGTAGTGTGAACTACTGGACCATTGAGGAGATGAAAGGGAGGACTTTGACTTGTGAGTCCACATTACACATACGAAAGACTTTGTCTTCACCACAGGCTGTCTATTTCCCATCCTTCAAGACACCATTCGTGGAAAACACACCTATTGCATACTTAGTCTCAGGGCCAATTACTCTCTTTTGAGGCCGAGTCGAGAACACCTCGACATGAGACATAGTTACTGTACTATGTACCTCAGACTTACATAGGACAATGGCACACTGAATGAAGAGTGTTTCTTTCAACATTACACAATCCAGCTTTGCCGCCATAAAATCCCCAGCAATCCCAGCCCTTGTAACTACCAATTACTTACTACCTCTCTCTCTCACACACAAGCAGGGCTGGTATTAATAGTGCAGCCACAGGAAATGAGAAGAAAGACAGATAAACTCCCAACTCTGAGGACAATAACCCACCCCCTCACTGCACTTCAACCCACATTGTCCCCTGCAATGTGGGGGGTCCCTTACAGGAAGCTATATACTCCCCACTCACAACCCCCCCTGAGGAATGCAATTAAGCCAACCCCCACATTGGTAAGAAAAGACAAGTAAATTTACAAAAGAGGCACCCACCCCTAGATACTACCATACTTAGTGACATCATACTTAGTGATGTCACATTATTTTGTCAAAACTCAGTGGTGGATCCCTTGACCCCAGACCAATGTGTTCACTACATACTGTATACCTTCCATCCCTCCATTGTCCCCTCCTGTGGACCACCCTCGCCCACTCACTCCCATTACCTCTTGGAGAGCGGGATTCCAGACACGACCGAGATGACGTTCTTCTCACGGTTGAGTGTTATGTCGTCACCAAGGTTACCAGTCTTCCCGCTGACCTTGATACGACCTTTCAGAAACTCCTCCTGAAATCATCCGACAAGGGAAGGGGGAGAGAGGGAGAGAAGGTAGGGACTAGGGAAGGTAGCCCTAACCCTGCGACACATAAAACCTCCACCATCGAAGGCAAGAAGCCCAAACTCACGAAAGCTCCGGCATCCATTATCTCATCTTCCACTGGAGTTGCGCAGTTGATGGAGAAACGCAGCTGCGTCTTCTTGGACTTGCCGCCCTTCCGCGTCTCTTTCTTCTGCACACATACCCCCACGAATATCGGCAATATCCGTTATTTATCAAAAAAACACTTACAGTGGGCATATCTAGACCGTCCTACGACTAGTGGATCGGGTGGCGTTCCTCTTCTACTGCGATTCCAAAGGATTTCTTCCCCTTCTTCTTTTTACACACCGTCTTCACGTGTGTGTTCACGTGTGTGTGCCGAAAGGATCTCTATGCGCATGCGTATAAACACATGCGCGCGCACACACACCCGCGAAAAACTCGCGGGTTTACTACAAAAACTAACTGCGCAGCGTCCGCCTCGGAGTGTTTTGGTTAGTTCTCTCGTGAAAGAAGCGATGGAGGTTGTACTGCGGCTAGCCTCTGTCTTCGTCCTCTGGTGTATCTCCAGCAGCGAGGCCGCATTCTCGCGCACAATGCGCTGCCCGTGCGCAGCCTCGCTAGCCACGGAGAACTGGCAGCCGTCTGTCGAAGAAGCCGTCCGTCTCTCGGACGTGGTGCTAATGGGACGCGTCGTGGAGCTGCGTCCGGGTCTCCGAGGCACCATGAATGCTTCCGTGGTCACGGTCTACGCGTACAAGGGCCGCGCCATCTTTCTGAGTGTCATAGACAACTGCACGAATTTTGCGGACGGTTCCGATCTAAACGTTGTGTCTCTGTTTTTCTTCGCCCGAGAGCCCGGCGGAAATCTGGCCCTGCGCTGCGTGTCGCCGCTGCAGGAACTACACTCTGCAACTCAGGGACACCTGCCGGCGCTGCTCAACTTCGTCAGGGACACGGGCAAACGTAAGTTCTTTGTGCCATTTTTCACGAGGCTTAGTATTTACTACCGTTCGGAACGGGTGTTTGTTTTACCGCCGCGAGGGTCGGCGTAGTTTTTAGGGTGGGGCTCAGTCGCGTTGTATGTGACGTGGGGCGCGTTGATATGTTTTTGCACGTTTAGGTGCACCGCAAACGGCATTCCCCGGAGCGTGCATGCGGGGAGATAAGAAAGACCGCTCTTCCTGTCGTCCTGGGATTTTTGCATCACGTTATGTAACACTTGGTAGCCATGCAGACTGGGGGAGTGGTGAAGTTGTTGGAAAGCCATGCAAACACTACCATACACCCATGTTGCTTTTCACTGCACACAAAATCACAGTAGGAGATAGGAGATATGGAGAGATGTTTTTTTGTTTGTGTTACACTTGAATTGGCAGGGTTATGTCAGGTGGAGTAACTTCCCAGGCATACCCTGGCACTTCACTGCCTCATAGCTTTTCGGATAATGCCAGCCACAATGCCGTTAACACCATTTACTGTAGTTTCTAGGCTACAATAGTTGGCATTCCGGCGGAATCTTATGCAATTTGATCTCTTTCTGCGAAACCCCCACAGTTTACTACACACTAAAACCCACTTTTGTAGCCGTGTGGTTCTAGCAATCCATTTTTTATGTCCTCTTGATGCACACACGTTGTTGTAGGGTCTGCTTGCTCCACTGTAAGGCCAGAGCAGACACGAAGGACGTGGCTTTAGGCAAAATTCGCTGGCAGCACTCCACACTTCAGTAGCCAAAGCTGCTCAAATGTGATTTTGAGCTCAGCCTTGCAGAAAAATTTGGTCAAAGCTGATCAAATTTTCTGTGTACATCAGTCATGCAAGTGTCAAAGCCGATCATTCTTTATGGATCTGTGAAAATTTAGAAGCCTGTTATATACTGATTAGTGCTGCATTCTGATTGGTTGGTGTCATTAGGGATGGCCATGTTTTAGTGAAATTTTAATTTGATTGTTCGCCACCACAACACAAGCCATCACACAAGCCATCAAACATTCCCCGACAATTGAATCAGCAACCGGTACCTTTGGATTACTTTACCTTCAAGGTTATACAGCATGGTGCTCCTGGTGTACAACATTCCGTGTACATGTGTTTACATCTATTGTCCCCCCATTGCAGGTGCACAGTTTTGTTAGACATCTTTGATTTATACACAGGGGGTATAGATCTAGCCGATAATACTTTTTATTGTATTTTTTCTGCTTATTAAAGGAGATACCCATGGCGTCCAAAGGGTTAAGTTTCTTTAACTGTATGGTTGGGTCTAACAAAGCGGTCAAGTGTGGTCAGTCCTACAGAGTATGTGGTACTTTGATTTCTATGGCTTCTGGACTACAGGTCTTTTGGACTGCATGGTTGCTCCATGGTTGGGTCTAATGTATATCACTGAAAGAGATGCCAATCGTGTGATTGGCATCCAGTCTTGTGTGTACTTTTCTCACCTCATTTGTAGTTAGGCAGCGATTTTGAGCCCATCTCGCAGTGCTGTGTATGTTGTCTGTATGTTGAGGATTGTTAGTTGATGGGATGGAGAAATTATAGTGTGGAATTTGATTTTTGTGTTTGGTGATTAATGAGCTTTATGGAGTTGGTCCAAATGAGGATTAACACATTTTCTTCTCTTCTTATCTCCACTCTACCACCTACTTCTTTCCTTTCTTTCTCCATTCTCTCTCCCCCTCTCTCTTTCTCCTCCCCCCCCTCATTTCCCTCCCTAACTGCAGAAGAAAACAAGAAGAATGATAAATTTGGTGAGTAAACATCACATATTACTGTGAATCTTGTGGTATTCATCAGTTCCCATTTCTAGCCCACTGATTAACATTTTACTCCATTCTCAGACCAAAATTAAACATTTTACTCCATTCTCAGACCAAAATTATTCTTTTTAACCACACAATCCCCGCCTCCCTTCTCTCTCTTCCTTTCTTATTGGTTTCTTCTTTCTTCTCCTCTTCTCTTTCTTTTTCTTCCTCCTCTCCCTCCCTCCTCCCTCCCTCCCACCAGTTCGTCCAACCCCAGACCCCTGTTTGGTCAGTCCCGCCCCATGTTCCCCCGAGGGCTCGTTTTGCTCCGTCACCAACACTCTCACCGGACACAACTACAAGTGTACATGTCTCACCGGTTTCCGTGGAGACGGCTATAATTGCCAGCGTGAGTCCCCGACATTACCATGTTATTTCTGACGATGTCACCATGAGCTGCTATAAATAGAAGAGTGTTACTTAATAAAGTAGCTGTATCCGGTTGAACTCTGTCCCAATCAAAATGGCAGCCTCTGAAATGAGGAAATCTGCTTCACTTCTATAAGCCATAGTCCAGAGGTCATTATTATAACTGGCATAACAGGATCTTGGCATCTCTATTCCTCCATACCAGACGGTGATGACATCACTATGACATCACACTCTGGGACCCACACTCAGTATAATTATACCGACAAAACCACTCCCTTCGTTCACTATTGGCTGTCCTGATAATATAGTCAATCTTAATTAACATAGTCCACATTCTGGCAGCAAATTTTCCTTATTTTTCCGTGTCGTGCTCTTACCTGCAATTTGTTGTAAAACTTGCCACACCTCCTGCATTGTTCTTCTCTTTCACTTTTTTTCCCTATAAAAACCTAAATTCCGTTGGAATACAGATTAGTTGGAGGCACTGCTATTGACTGAGGGTTTTCAGTCTGCTATTATACTCTAGCTGATGATGTCATAATGATGTCATTGAATTTCTCTCTCCTCAGTACCATTTGTGATTCCGATAGAGGAGATCCCAAGCTCCGCCCCCTCTTACCCACCTGGTAACTATTTTATACTGTGCCACCTGTTAGCAGTATACAGTGGAACCCCTCTCTAAGGACGCCCCTGAAATGAGGACACCTCTCTAAGGACACCCCTGAAATGAGGACACCTCTCTAAGGACACCCCTGAAATAAGGACACCTCTACCTCTCTAAGGACACCCCTGAAAATGAGGACACCTCTCTAATAAGGACACCTCTTCTTTCCCCAAAAACAGTTACTGCTTAATACGAACACTTTCCTTCTGGTGCTATTTGTGTCCAGATTAGAGGCTTTTCTCTTTCGTCCCTTATTATGCTCTGGAATTTTGACCTTTTGAAAGAAATTGTATGTCAAGTCACCATTTTTTTCAGAAATCTAAATTTCCACCAAATAGCAAACAAATGCTCCCTCTACCGTAAGACCTACACAAATATGTAGCGTGACGTGACTGCGATACCTCTGTTCACGCATTTGCCAACCAACAAACATTGGGATTCCTGTCGGTTGATTTGGCAGGTTTCGCCACGGCAACAAAGCCAGGTAAATTGGATATATTACCCATTGCTGCCGCGGGTGACAGGACTCTGTGTTTATGGTGAAGTTGTTGGTTAGTTTGTCACTTTATTTGCCAACTTTCATCACACAGCTGCCAAATGAAATGCTCTCTATCTCTCTTACTCATCAGTTGCCTGTGGAGGACTTTCCAGCCCCCTGGTGGATCTCCTTGGCAACGCCGAGAAGTGTAACGAGGGGGACATACCCGGAAACGGGTGTCCGCCACTTCACTACTGTCACCACGGTCTCTGTTGCCCAGGTAACAGTTTTGCATTGTGACCTCAATAGTGACATATTAATTTTTCTTGGCCCCGTGTAGTGACTCCACCCACAACTATGACTCCGCCCGTACCATTGCCGTCCTCTGTGGTCCCGCCTACTGCCACACCCACCATCTCAACATCTTTGTCTCCCTCCTCTATCCCTCCCCCTCCCATCTCTTCTGGTTAGTCCTCCTTGTCCTCAGTCGTCACATAATGTATTAGAGGGAACCACTGTATGTTCACATATCCTATTATGGAGCAGTGGGTCGTTTAAATACTGTAATTCAAGACAACAACATGGGTTTCACCAGTATGTGTGTGCGCATCTATGTATGTGTGTACTATGTGCATATGTGCATATATACAATATAATATGCATCTATGTATGGTACATACATAGATGCATATTATATACAATGTCCGTATGTATGTGCATGTGCATGTGCATGTACCTACACACTACAGTTCTTGTTGAAACATAATGTTTAACAGAATCCGTTCGCACGAGCGCGGGGGTATACATATATATACCAGTTCCTAGTTGGTCCTGCCTCAATCCCCCCCCTCCCCTCACAGATTGTGGAAGTGGTGAAAGTGGTGATGGTAGTGGAAACTGTGACGACCAGGGAAGTGGCTTCATATCTGGGAGTGGCTTAATTAGTGGGAGTGGCTTCGTTAGTGATCTCGACGGTGGTGGGAGTGGTCACATGATGGAGGGAAGTGGCCCCCCCGAGCCTGAAGTGGGGGGACCGGTGGAGAAGAGCGAAGCCGGAGGAAGTGGGTGGTGGATGGAGGAAACGGCGGGGCAGTCTGACAAACTGGACACCTTGTTGGACGATGAGGACATGGCATATGGGCAGGCGATAAGCAGGAGGAGGAGGAGGAAGAGAGGGACGAATAGATGGTGAGGTAATCCTCGATTGCGCCAGTACGGGGTTGTGTACCTCAGATTATTCTCGCTCGAAATCCCACACATGGCGGACTGAAAGAATGGCAAAGAGTGCAAAGAAACAATAATGAGATCCACATGTAGGATTTGAACCCACCACATGTAGGATTTGAACCCACCACCTGTTGTTTATCAAAATCCTGGTCTGTTGTACATACGTTGGGTTTAGCTCATCGTGTATGGAACTGTTGGGATAGTTTATTGATTAACTCCTTCCCCACTGTCTCTCCCTCTACAGAGAAGCCGAAACACGGCAGTCATTATATCACATAATATTCTTCAATTTATCACCTCCCCTCCCTCCCCCTCCCTCCCTCCTTTGTGTCACGCCATCTCAGGTCACTTGCCACCCAACACTTCTCATTTCCTTTGTACCAGTGTATCTCTGACCTCTGATCGAACATGCAGTTCACATAAAGAATGGTGTCATAATTATGTCACAGTGAATATTTGATCGGAATTTAATTAACCTCATAAGGCGGGGAATGCTCTACAGAATTGCCTAGTCTTCTAATCCCTGGACAGATAACCCCAGTGGCCACCCCTGAACTAGAGCAGTAGGACACACACTACCACTAGTTCAAGATCAGGCAGCTGAGCACACTGACAGTTATTTAAAACTAGAGGAATGCAACACTTCGCAAGTGTGCAGTTTGATTTTTCTTGCAATTGACACGTTTAAAATCACGTGTTAACGGTATGTTGCGGTGCCCTACATATGAAAAATCCTGCATTCAGAACACTAGGTGGGCTCCATTCAGAACACTAGGTGGGCTCAGTTCAGAACACTAGGTGGGCTCCATTCAGAACACTAGGTGGGCTCCATTCAGAACACTAGGTGGGCTCCTCAGAACACTAGGTGGGCTCCATTCAGAACACTAGGAGGTGGGCTCCATTCAGAACACTAGGTGGGCTCCATTCCGAACACTAGGTGGGCTCCGTTTACTTGCCCAATTACAAAACTGGACTGTTGCTTCATAAAGTATATACAGCTCTATCATTCGTCACCAATCCAGAGACAACGATACCATTTTTTAATAGATGTGACAGCATGATAAATGATAATAATGACAACTATTACAAAACAGCTATACAATACAATGGGACTAAAGTTCCTAATTGCTAGTGGGAGGAGTCAGTGGGCGGAGTTTCAGCATCAGCTTTCTGTGATAAATACAGAAAGTAAAGAAGTACAGTGATGCAGGAAACCTTAAAGATTCATTCAGTGGAACTCCTCTAATCAGGACACCAATGGGTCAGAAGAAAGGTCCATATTAGGGAGGTGTCCTTATTTCAGGGGTTGAATTGCATGTAAGAACAGTTCTTGGGGAAAGAAAAGGTGTCCTTATTAGAGAGGTGTCCTCAAATGAGTGTCTTTAGCCACCTAGAGTGACACATTCAGGCACCATACCTCTCTAATTAGTGGGTGTGGCCTACATGAGAGAGCACTAACCCCTGTGTCCCCTCCGGCAGGGGGTGTGGTCAGAACGGGGCGAAGGTGGGGGCTGGGGAGGCCGGTAAAGTCGTGCTGACAGTTTGCCATTGCGTAACCGAGACCGTAACCGAGTCCCAGAGTCACCGGCCAGGGTCTCCCTGGCAACAGAGATCAGGGGAAATAGGAGATGTAGCCGTCAGTCATTACCACATCACCTACTCATAAATGTGTCAAAAACTTTGATTAGATTGTAGCACAGTTTAATTGGTGTTAATCTAAGGATTATACTCATGGCATCCAAAGACTGTAATTAAGACTATGAAATGCTGTAGTCATGGTAAACGCCCCAAGACAAGGAGATAGTTCAACGTCACACAATGTTTATGGAGGTGGATTAGGGGGTTCAAACTGACAGACGAGGGAGAGAGAGGAGAGAGGGGTGAGGTGAAAACACAATAATGTGACTCACTCTTGAACAGCAGTAGAGAAAAAACCAGCCCCAGTCCAACACCTGTTCCTGAATGGATGAGAGAGAGGAGAGGGATGGTGGGAGAGGAAGAAAAAGGGAAAGAAGAGGAAGAAGGAGAGAGGAGAACAAGAAAGGGAGGAGGAGAAAGAGAGAGAGGAAGACACGACAAATGTCTACCAGAGAGACGATGTCAACAAGTCACCACCACCACACACATACACATTGTCAGACGATCAACTGGTGATTTCATCGGCTGCTGCCGGGGACAACCAGAGGTCAAGGTACAAACAAGTAGGAACATATATACCAGTCTCATAATTCCCTCCACGAGTGGTATATAGTAATTAGTGCCACGTGCCGTAGCAATCTTAGCATCACGTCGCTTAGTGACCGCGCTCACAGATCAGCACAAACACCGTAATCAGTGATCATGTGATTGATCGTATATATTTCGAGAGATATGTAATAGCTTCCTGTTAGGTCACTGTAGCTATAGGTCATAACGGAAGAAAGAGAGAAGAATAGGAAGTTGATGCAACGCAAGTCATCTGATAGACCATCGACAAACAATGTTCCTTCTTCCTGTTTACTCGTCAGTAAGAATCAAGTGATTATTGATAATTCTGACTACAGAAGGTTTAAATATCAAAACACAAGCGAAAATACATTAAACACTTTCTTGCTTACCAAAATTATTATGAATACAGATATATCGCTGTCAGGTATGAATGTCAAGCGACAATAAAAACCAATATTTAGACACTTTCTTGTTTACCACTGCATGCAAACATACGCCTGTCAAGACATGGAAAGATTAATTGATCATCAAAACACTGACTGATATTTCAGAGTAAAGAAAATAGATATCCCATTTCTCAAGTAGACATCAAACCAACTGGTGCCATATGAGGTGTACACATGATGTGACAATGGTTATTTGATAGACTTGTGAAACCTGGCCAACAATTCTCAGCTACTTTCTTTGTTTACGGCTATATAAGAATACGATAATGTTTCATTTGGTGAAATTGTGACTCCAGACTGTGAATGTAGGGACAATATCTGAGTTTCGATCATTGTGTCTAGTCCTATACCTATCACTTATAGTACAATTCTTTCGTTGACTTTCGCTTAGTAATCCCTGACTCTTTTGAAGAAAGAACGAGAATTTCAATCGCCCCTGGGTCATCGACATATCTACCAGGTCAAATCAGAGTACTTCCAGTTGATGTTTGTGGGGCAGACGACAACTTGAAGATAATTCCCCCCGGCCACAGTGGAGCTGTCCTCTCTACTCTGGCACAGGATGTGAGTGCCATGGCTGGTATTCCGGTGGCTGTCTCGACAAACGACTGTTAGTTCATGTTACCACGAGGACAAGGAATGTGGGGAGGAATGCACGCACGGCGGGTCTGGTGTCGTGACAACAACCCCATACCCCCTCGACAGGAGATTGATTGACTACCGTGTCACCAGGTGGAACACCCTTCCCTGTGTAACTGCTGCCTCCCCCTCCCCCCCTCTCTCTCTCTTGATGAATGGTGCACACAGGTTGAATAAAACCTTTATGTATGTCAGCTTATTTCAGTAGTTCTCCACTCTTTTAATGCTTAAACACACGTCTTCTTTCTTTTCTCTCTCTCTCTTCTCAACCTATCTCCTCTCTCTTTCTCGATTGCTCTCTCTCTCTCACTGTCTCTCTCTCTCTCACCAGTTTTGATGATAGTATCAGCGACACACCGGTCCCACTTCAGCCCCAGCTCATCTTCACTCCTCACCCTCTCCCCTCCTCCTCCTCCTCCTTCCCCACTCTTTACCTCCTCGCCAGACATAGCTTCAACTTTCGGCTGCTGCAGGTCAAAGTATAAAACCCTCGTAAATACTCGCGAGTATATACACCAACGCGCGCACATGCGCATGCGCAATATAAATTTCGCGGCTCGCGAGATTTCCCCGCAGCCCCCGCTCTAATAAGTAGTGAAAATGTCAGGATGAGGACGTCAGTGTAGTGTATGCTGGGCAGCAACCGCTGGTGCATGCAGAGGACCGCTATAGTAATCTCTAGCGGCAGGATTCGAACAAGCAAGCACGGACCCACAAACGCCAGCCTGAGCCAGTTGAGGTGAGTAGCTAAAATTGCAGTTCCGCACCGTGTTTTATCCGGTGTCGCCGCGACATTGTTACGGGTCAGTAGCCGCGGACAGGATTTCGTTTCTCAAATCGCAGTTTCTGCTGTGTCTTGTCCAGTAGAGCGAATAATAATATCAACGTTGGTAATAGCTACATCAATATAATCCTCTTTTGTTTTTGCAATCTACACGACACGCGGAGTAAACTCAAGTATGTACGTCTTTGCAACGTCTCCACTGCTGATATATATCATTAGTTTAGAGGGAGGAGTGGGGGGAGAGTGATCATGCATAGAGAAACTTGAATCTGATTGGTTAAAGCATTGTCGTGCCAACTTTTGGCAGGCTCTAGCATGTGGGATGGGAGCTAGATACTATCCCACAAGACGGCAGATTTGTGTCTAGCTGGAGCTGGTACATAACTCGACACACTGTGACTGTAGGCTGCGGTCACAGCGAAGTGCCTGGAGGAGTTAGCTCACTCAATAGCCATTTGATCAACTCTACAGCAATTTATAGCTTATCTTTGACAATTCCCAGTGAGACACCAGCTAGCAAATTGCATGGCTGACTGGTGTCACACCCATCACTATGTTGTGATTGTGTGAGACGATGGTAAGGGAGAGAAGGCAGACTGTACTTACTCATTAAATCTCTAATGTAGCATGAACAGTTAGCATCCCACACCTCGTATTTTTGCAGATAAACCTGCAGGAGTAGCATTTCAAACAGAGTTGATGGTATGTTAACAAAATAATAGATAATTGTTGTCACTGACAAATGATCATCTGTAGATGCATTTTCATCGGAGACTGAGTGGTGAGAATCACCTGGGAGATGGGCCAGCCTATCACTCCATGAGTAAACTACGACGAACATCGTCCATTCCTGATACCGGTAGGGCAGTATGGGAATGAGACACTGATGCAACATTACATCATCAAATTTCTTCCTCACAGAAAACGACGAGTTTCCAGTCGGTGACTGCGACTCCCTGAGACCAGTGTGTCTGTCTGCGTACCGCTCACGATCTAACACTTACTCCTACGGAGGTAATCTGACAATCAAATAACGGTTTGAGCTCTGTAATCACATTTCTTGATCAGTTTAACCAGCACACCTTGCGGATCGAATATTATTGGGTGTACCTTGCGTATAAAAAACTTTTATTATGTGTAGGTCTATTAACATGTGTTTCTTTTTTCCTCCGACATGAGTAGATATCCAAGGAATGAAGGGAAAGTATCGTTCTGACAGTAACCTGCTCCAAACCCGAACCCTCCCTCCTGACTCCGCCCTCTCTCTCGTGGGGTCACAGGGGTCGGCAGGCCGCGAGGGGTTCGTGAGCGTCGGGGAGAGGGAGAGAGAGGTCGAGTTGTTGACCTTCTCATCACCGAGACTGTTCCAGAGACGAGGGGGTGTGGTCGGAGATATCAACGTCGGCTCTATCCAGAGACTAGTGAGTGAGGGAGGGAGAGGAGAGAGTCTGGCCACAATGTTTGCAATAGCCAACTAATATTCCAGGCTAGTTGGTTGCAACCTCTAACTTGGCAAGTGAGGAGGAATTGGCTACAAGTTTCAACTACATTTTTGGCTAGTTGCTTGCAGTTTCAAAATGTGTTACTGGTTTTGTTCCATCTACCAATATATACCTCTCTATGGAGACAGCTCCTGATAATATAGGTAGCTGACAAGTTGCCAGTATATACCTCTCTATGGAGACAGCTCCTGATAATATAGGTAGCTGACAAGTTGCCAGTATGTACGAGCCTGCCTTATGTCAAACGTCTCCTGTTTGAAGTGGGTTTTAGTTGCCGATTTGCCAGCATTGTAAGCGGCAAATTAGCGTGGGAACATGCATTATTGGGCACCCAATACAATTAGATTAGCACACAGCACTGCACGAGCTCTGGCTCATTGCAACGTATGTCAGACTGACACAAAAAAACTGCACAAGTCAGGACCAAACAAACAAATGCAATTGAATCAACATTTTTGCAAACTCCGTGACAGCCGGCCTGGCTCGTTCAGCCCGTGGGCACGATTTAATAAAACATACAGTGGTGATCTTAATGCGATTATCGCAGATTTTGAAATTCTATACCTGCTGAATTGGAATGTGCTACTATTTCATTGTATTCACGCATGTGGTCACAGTGTGTGGTTTTGCCGTATTATATTAACGTCTTAATAGAATTCATATGATGGTCTCTAATAATAGATTATTACTGGCTGCCTGGAACTACCATGTGAGGTGTAACAAGGGGTTAAGATAATAATTTTCCTGTTAACCCCTTACAGACGGAGGACGGGGAACAAGGGGTTAAGGTAGTAGTGGAAGAGGAGAAAGGAGGAAGACAGGTCACTGAGACTGTTCCAGCAGATAAGAAACCACTCAGGTACGATATCACACGTGATGACTCTGGCATTAAAACTTCTCATAGATTCTCTTCTTCTCTGTAAGTACATCACCACAATAGGCCCCTACATGAAGGTATTAGACCATGGAATGGTTCTCAATGCTGTATATACCATGCCTCTTCTCCGCCTCATTAATGGGAGGTAGTAGTCAGCCTGTATTTACCATGCCTCTTCTCCGCCTCATTAATGGGAGGTAGTAGTCAGCCTGAGTATAATTATAATCTGATTTGGCACGGAATGAAGTGTAAAAAATGTATTTTTTTTATCGCTTCAATTTTTGTGTGGGAAGCAACTGTGCGAAACTTTAGGTCGTAAATTATTGCCGGGGAACAGGTCAAGCTTTCGTTGATCATCCGATCTGCTTGCATGTTTACAAACATGCAGAGAGCTAGATTTCTTCTAACCGGAGGGTCCATTACACAAGGCTGTACAGTACAGTACAGTACAGTACAGTACATGCAACTCTGACACAATAATATTATGGTTTCCATCGCAGTTTAATCACCCGTGATCTCTTGGTAACAACCCAGCCAAAAAGGATGTAATTAACAGAAATTAGTTCTATGCATTCTTTACACGGAACTGGGCCTCTGCTCACTAAGAGTGTATTAGTGAGAGAGGATGTGCAGTCACACACACTCTCTTCTTTCTCTCCTCACTTCAGTACACAAACATGCATAGCATTTTTGGCATGAGCTATATACAGATAGTTTAATGTCACATAAAGATATTAAATAATTCATGAGCAACTGGTCAACAAGCAAATGCACAAACACAATAATCAATGCCGTTCTGACTACTAGACTCGCAAACAATGTCAAATTTTAAATACACATGTAAGATTCTGCAGTAAGTATCGATTTACTATTGGTTGAAATGTGCAATATGTGATATCGAGAAACTAAACTTCCCCAAATTGGTCGGTTTGTTAAATTTTGTGTCTATCCCAAGCTCTTGCCATTTTTTCTCCCTCTTCTCATTTTATATCTCCTTTCCCCTCTCATCTCTCCGCTTTATCTCTCTCCTACAGAGAAGTGTTGGACTATATTTTCATAAAACACGATCTAGAAGTGGACTGGGATCCGCCCACCCATTCCTTCACCGTCGTGACGCGGAACGGAACGCGGACCAGTCCGGATCTGGACCTCCCCAGTAACCACTTCTCAGGGTGTTCCCTGGAGATCAGACCACTGCAGAGAGACGAGGAGAGGGAGGAGAGGGAGGAGAGGGAAGAGGGCAGCTCTGCGAGAGATGAGAGGGTGAGAGGCTAAAGAGTTTCCATTAAAAAGTTGCTGTCAGTAAACAGCACGTGTTTGTTATTTACCAGCAAAATCCTTATGTTGGGTTTTGTTAATATTTTGTACGTATTATTTTCCATGTTCAGCTAGTGCATTTGTATTTTCTTTTTACAACTTTCTTTTCTCATCTCTTCTGCACTTTCTCCCTCCCCCCAAACACACACACCTCAGCCAATCTTCAAAACCCTGGAGGACTGTTTGTCATATTTCACCACCCATGGACTGGTAGAACTGCCCTCTCAGAGAGATGAGGAGGAGGAGGAATACCATCTCCCTAGGGTCCACCCCCTGGACAACATTGTGAGTCACGTTGATCTGCTTTTGGTTCAGCTGTGGTCTGCTTGGATTCTGCCGTGGTGTGCATTTGTTTCTCCAGTGGTCTGCTTTTGGTTCCTGTGGTCCTATTTTTGTTCTCTGGTGGTCTGTGTGTGGGTTTGAGTGGTCTGGAGTGGGTTGGTTTTGGTTCTAGTGGGTGTGTTTGTGTCTGTTGTGTTCTTGTTTCATTACACAATGGTCTGTTGTAGTTCTGTAGTGGTCTGTTGTAGTGGTCTGTTGTAGTTTCTGTAGTGGTCTGTTGTAGTCATGTAGTGGTCTGTGTGTCATGTAGTGGTCTGTTGTAGTTCTGTAGTGGTCTGGTAGTTAGTAGTGGTCGTTGTAGTTCTGTAGTGGTGGTTGTAGTTCTGTAGTGGTCGTTGTAGTTCTGTAGTGGTAGTGTTGTAGTATGGGGTCTGTTGTAGTCGTAGTGTCTGTTGTAGTTCTGTAGTGGTCTGTTGTAGTCATGTAGTGGTCTGTTGTAGTCATGTAGTGGTCTGTTGTAGTTCTGTAGTGGTCTGTTGTAGTTTCTGTATCTGTTGTAGTCTGAGTGGTTGTGTATTCTGTAGTGGTCTTTCATTGGTCTTGACTGGACCCACAACAGTTGGTGTTGGCATTCTAGGATGGTTCCAAGATCATAATACCAACAACATCAGCTCTTCTTGTGTTTTATCTTTCCATCTTCCACATGCAGCCAGGGTCCTGGGATGATCTGCCAATTAAACCTGAGCTGAAGAAGGTAATGATAGAGATCGTCAAGACCTGTACCATTCACCTCCATTCTCTCTCCTCCTCTCCTCTCTCCTCTCTATTTCAGTCTCTTCTCAGACGAGGCAGCCAGCAGAGGGCATCTGGGAGCTGAGATATCGACATGCGAATACTCGCACATCCAAACAACTCGAGGTCATCACTAATGTAGTGACGTATGTAATACTCACCACCACTGCAGCACCACCTCATGCTTCTTGTTCTTTCTCCCCTTTTGTCATTTCTTCAGCCTCCACATTACTGTCCGTATAGGAACTTTGTTACCAGTTTCGTTATTGCCTCCCTCGCCCACCGCCAGCTGTTGATGCAGTGTCTGCGCTGGTGAGAAGAGCCAAAGCGTGATTGTCCGCAGACAAACTACCACCCGTGTTCGGGAGCTACATGGAGAGAGCTGTACGCACAGGACAGGACAGTCTGGCTGGACCTGCTGGCCGTACGGCTCGAACACGGTCCTATCTCATCACTTCTACTCACACCTATTCCCATGAGTTTTGACAAGTAAATCTCGGACGTCTCATGTATGTACTACATTTTGATTGAATGTGTAACTCAAACGGTTTTGTTGAAATACACTAGTCGCATTATACCTATTGACTGCCAAACTATATCTCTTGCACTTGGTGTTGTACATTTTGTGTTGTTGTGTTGATTTACTGTTTACGGTGTATCATATCGGGCAAGCTCTGGCCTCTCCATCATAATCCAGCGCTGTCCGATGGACGTATATCTATCACGTGTAATATACACTGGGTGACGTTCTTTGTGTTTAATGTTAGGTAAGAGGGGTAATCTGAAGTGAGATTTTCAATGTAAACTCAACTTCTTCCAAAACCAGTGCAGAGACAGTTGATATGAACTAATAGGCACAAGGTAACATGGTGCACCTTTCAATCACTGTGTGTCGCTAGACCGCACAACCTTCCTACAACATCCCTATGAGACCTGTTTATCATGATACAAGTAG